TTCAGCATTTTTTTATAAATTTGATTTAAATTAGAAACAGTCTTATTTTGCATACCAATCCCAGTTCCCTTGCCCTCACATCCCCCCACGCTCCACCACTGACCCCCATTCAACCCCAAAATCCATTCCACAGGAAGGGTGAGGACTACCATGAAAGATCATCAAAGTCTATCTAGTCATTTGTTACAGGGTCTAGGCCCTCCCCTGTGAATCCAGGCTGAGAGGGTATTCTTCCATGGGGAATGGGCTCCAGAAATCAATTTGTGCAAAAGGAATATATACTGGTTCCACTACCAGAGGCCCAGACCTCCTAGCAGACACCCACATGTGGGGCCTGGTTTAGTCCTTTGCTGGTTCCCCAGCTGTCAGTCTGGTGTCCATGTGCTCCCACTTGCTCAGGTCAGCTGTTTCTGTGGGTTTCACAGCATGGTCTTGACACATTTTCCATCACTCCTCCCTCTCTACAACTGGATTCCAGGAGTTCAGCTCCGTGCTTAGCTGTGGATCTCTTCTTCTGCTTCCATCAGCTACTGAATGAAAGCTCTAGGATGGCAATTAAGGTAGTCATAGACCTCATTACAGGGGAAGGCCTTTTAAGGTAGCCTCTCCACTATTGCTTAGATTCTTAGTTGGGTTCATTTTTTTTTTTTGATCTCTGGACATTTCTGTAGAGCCAGATTTCTCTTTAAACCTGAAATGGCACCATTTACTAAGGTGTCTCTTCTCTTGCTCTCCTCTATTCATCCCTTGACTCAATCTTCCTGATCACTCATGCTCTTCTCCCCCCTCCTCCACTGCACTTTCTCCTTCCTCCCTCCTCCCTCCTCCTGTGCTTCCAGTTGTTCAGGAGCTCTAGTGTCTTTCCCCTTCTCTGGGAGATCATATATGTCTCCTTCAGGTTCCTCATTGTTTCTGAGATTCTCTGGACGTGTCGATATGTGGATTGTAAACATAATGCCAGTAGCAGAGACACTGAGATTCACAATTAATAAATGGCACCTTCTGAAACTGAGAATGTTCTGTAGGGCAAGGCAGTCAGTCAACAAGACAAAACAGTAGCCCACAGAATGTGAAAAGATATTCATTACCCAACCGAATGGATAAAATCAAAATCATCAGTGACAGTTTATGCTGGTGAGGATGTGGGGAAGGAGAACAGGCCTCCATTGCTTGTGGGAGTGTAACCTTTTACAGTTACTTTGCAAATCAGTATGGTGATTTCTCAGGAAAATGGGAATCAGTCAATCTCAAGGCCTAGCAATCACACTCTTAGGCATAAACTCAAAGGATGCATATTCATACAACAAGGACATCTTTTCAATTATGTTCTTAGCAGCATTATTTGCAATACCTAGAACCTGGAAGAAACCTAGATGCCCCTCAACCAAAGAATGGATAAAGAAAATGTGGTACATTTACACAATTGAGTACTACTGAGCAGAAAAAAAATGAAATCTTGAAATTCACACACAAATGGATACAACCAGAAGAAACCATCCTGATTGAGGTAACCAAGTCACAGAAAGACAAACATGGTATTAACTAACTCATATATGGGAAGCAGACATATAGAAAACTATTACTATAAAATCTTTTACTCCTCCTTCACTCCTGAGAGGCATTTCACATTTGGTACCCTGGGTAGGGGCTGGGGCTGCTCTCTTATCCCTGACAAGCTAGAAACTCAAAATAAGTTTTTTTCTTTGCTTCTTCAGGTCACATATGGAATCTTTTATTCTGTGCTAAGTGACAAAGATACATTCCCATCCGTGTACCAGATTTCTCCTCAAGAAAAAGCTCTGACCCAAGGGGTGATTCTTTTATTGCTGCACTTTGGCTGGAAGTGGGTGGGAATCATTGTAGCTGATGACCTAAAAGGAAAGGAGTTCCTCTCTGACATGACAGCAGAGCTTGCTTCAAAAGACATCTGTGTGGCTTTTACAGAAAAAATACCAACTTATATGAAATTGGAGTTACTGTTTGGGGGTGGATTGGTGAATTTGAGCCAACATACAAAAGTAAATGTGCATGTATTCTATGGGGATATAGATGATGTCCTGTTTTTCTACATACTAAATGAAATTAGGTCAAATAGAAAGAAGATGTGGATCATGGCAAAGCCGCACTTTGTTTACTTACAGTCTGTATTTTATAAGTGGATTGGTTTGATGTCCTTTTTTGAAGGTAGCTTCTCATTTTCAAAGAAGAGAAATATCCCTGGCTTCAAGCACTTTATCGAGGCACTTACACCCTCACAGTACCCAAGTGATATTTACTTCCATAAATTCTGGCTGGACAATTTTCACTGTTCACCTTCTCCTTTGCTATGTGGAGTTCAAGAACTCTGCCCACTGAATATATCGCTAAAGAATAAACAGGAAATACAGGTTGTGATGATCACTTCTGAGCCCAGCGTTTCCATATGGAATGCAGTGTATGCAGTGGCCCATGCCCTCCATGAAATGCTTTTGAGTAAAACAAAAATAGATTCTCACAAAGACATAAACCAGGACAGGCTTCTACCTTGGCAGGTAAGTCTACCTCATAGAGAAAGGAGACACTGGGAACTTATATTATTAGTAGGTACTTCCCTGAGTTCAAACACACAACACACTTTTATGTTGTAATGAAAAGAATAATGCAAAACATTGCTGACTTCTAGGGTCCAAATCCCAGTCAGAACCAGAGTAAATAAGGAAACCCATGAAGGTGGGGGATCTAGCATAGATACTTACTTGAGGTTTACTAGACTTTTCTGTCTGAGGGGTAAAATAGGAAACAGGGATGCTTTCTGTAGGTAAATTTCTCTTTACTTCATCTTTAAAAAATCCTTTGTGAATAATGTGCCTTTTCTCCCAATGCTCTATTCAGCAGCTTTTTTCTACTTAATTATATCCTTTTATTTCCTCTCTACTTTTCTTAATCTGCCCCTCTTTTGCTACTATCTTTCTACCTCTGCATTGACACTCCTGTCTGTTGCCTCTGCTGCCTCTGCCTCTGCCCTCTGCCTCATCCCCTGTCTCTGCCTTCTGCTTCCCTCAAAGCCAAACTCTGCTCCATTGTATTTTATTTTTCAGGGCTCAACCCACATTCATAATACATGTTAAGTCACATAGTTTCACTCAGGCTAGCAATGTCTCATTTACCCATGCATGTTGCACTTTCCCATGTAGAAAATGACTTTGGAAATCAAGACTTATCAATAACAATTAATTAGCCAGACCTTGAGTGGTAGGGAATTCATAGAGACTAAATTTACTTTGATCTCGCCTTGAATTAGTAAAACAACACCTGAGACGAATGTTATCATGTATTTGTGTCTAGGAACTGCCAGATATTTGTCTCTAGGGGCAACCAACCTGCCTTGAATCTGCTCTGAAGTCAAAACTACCTGGTTTTGTAAAAGGCAGTCTTTGTGACTGTAAATCCTATGTCAGTCTGAGTAATGTACAATATCCTAGTATTTTTTTCTATTCATCAAAATTATGCAGTTTAAGAATCATCCCCCTGGCTAACCACAGCTGTCTTCATGCCAAGTACGTGGAATATATTCATGAGGTAAATGTACAAGCACTTTTAATACACCCAAAGCTGCTTTTTCTTAATCTGCCCCTCTTTTGCTACTATCTTTCTACCTCTGCATTGACACTCCTGTCTGTTGCCTCTGCTGCCTCTGCCTCTGCCCTCTGCCTCATCCCCTGTCTCTGCCTTCTGCTTCCCTCAAAGCCAAACTCTGCTCCATTGTATTTTATTTTTCAGGGCTCAACCCACATTCATAATACATGTTAAGTCACATAGTTTCACTCAGGCTAGCAATGTCTCATTTACCCATGCATGTTGCACTTTCCCATGTAGAAAATGACTTTGGAAATCAAGACTTATCAATAACAATTAATTAGCCAGACCTTGAGTGGTAGGGAATTCATAGAGACTAAATTTACTTTGATCTCGCCTTGAATTAGTAAAACAACACCTGAGACGAATGTTATCATGTATTTGTGTCTAGGAACTGCCAGATATTTGTCTCTAGGGGTAACCAACCTGCCTTGAATCTGCTCTGAAGTCAAAACTACCTGGTTTTGTAAAAGGCAGTCTTTGTGACTGTAAATCCTATGTCAGTCTGAGTAATGTACAATATCCTAGTATTTTTTTCTATTCATCAAAATTATGCAGTTTAAGAATCATCCCCCTGGCTAACCACAGCTGTCTTCATGCCAAGTACGTGGAATATATTCATGAGGTAAATGTACAAGCACTTTTAATACACCCAAAGCTGCTTTTAGACAAGAAATGAAGTGACTCATGAGAGAAATTACAGACCAGAACAACTGGTTTCCGAATAAATAATAAAGTCAATTGTGTATCACCTGATATAAATTCAGTGGTTTTAATATACAAAACAGCTCTTTATACATATTGCAAATCAGTAACTGTTGAAAGGATCTGTAAAATCCATTAATACTATGAGAATAGCATATGATTCTGACTTTGGGGCAGAATTATAAGGATATAGAGCCATTTTACTTAAGGTTTTGATTTGTAACCTGCCTTTCCAGATTTATTTGCATCAGTATAGAATGTAGATGCTGTACTTCTTGGTGTTTCTAGTACAGTGTGAAGAAGGATTCAGTTAGCTCTCTTTATAATTTGAATTCTCTTGCTTTTGGAATATTTATTGTTAATCTCTCCCCAGGAATTGCTGTAAGCTCTTTGCCAGGGCACACTTTCTGCCCATAATTAAGCAATTTCATCTTTATTAAAAGGTATCAAAATTTCTGATGGGTCTATTCCAGCTAATTGATGAAGTCTCAATTTTCCTTTTAGAATTAACTCAAAGAACTTTTCCATAAAAATTTTTTAAATTTTTTACTCAGTTTATGTGATAAAAATATCCATTTTATGATAATATCTTTCTTCTGCATTAGAATTCTGGAGGGGAATACTTGGATTATAATATGACCAGAGATCCACAATCCATGTGTGCAACCTGTAATTTCTCTTTTAACAAAGTCAATTCTCTTACTCAGCTTCAGTTGTTAATTTCCTGGCACTCATTAATATGCATTTTCAAGAATTTGGAACTTTGCATAAACTCCTCCTAATATTATCCTGTCAAGAAACTCTCTCTATATAAATGTACACCTATCTGCCTAACTAACCATACAATGGGTTCATTGTCTGCCATAAGGAAGATGAATATCTTAGCACCTATAAAATCAGAGATATAGTGTTGCTTCCATTTTACTCTAGTTTCACTCTGAAAACATTGATATTTTCTAGTTGTAGACATTTTTTTCAAACTTTTTTCATTTGAATTAGAATC